TTTATTTGTCACTAAAGAAGGGTTCAGTGAGTGCACATATGAAACTGGTGGGTTCAGTACCTCAAAAAAGGTTAAGAACCACTTGTCTAATGGTTCTGGTTCTGCTGCAGGGAAGGACGACATGGAGATGTGCGAGCTGAGCCTGGAGGAGACGGGTCTGTCCCGGAAGCGCGGCGCGGAGATTCTGCCCCGGCAGTTCGAGGAGATCTGGGAGCGCTGCGGCGGCGTGCAGTACCTGCGCAGCGCCATCGAGAGCCGCCAGGCGCGCCCCACCTATGCCACCGCCATGCTGCAGAGCCTGCTGAAGTGACGGGGCGCGCCACCGCTCCCGTCCTGCAGGAGGAGCTAACCCCACTAGCCAATTTTAACGTCTGCAGGCTAAAGGAGGCTAACATGCTAACTCAGGCTAACAGGCTAGCGGGCTAACAGGCTAGCTGCTGCAGTCGGACCTCCACACCTGGAATATCTCGTTCCTCTAATCATGCATTCCTGATTTATTCCGATGAAGCGTTCCCACCCGGCAGTGGGCCGATGACCCGGTCGGGTCGGTTCTGCTGGGCCGGAGCGGCGGCGTGAGGCGGAGCCGCTCCTCATCCTGATTGATGCTCGTTTCCGTTCTGGCCGAATGTTTTCCAGACGTGATTGATTTGTTGAATGAATCTCGTTTTTCCCTGTTTCTGTTTGATTTGGGAATGTTGTATCCTGGAGCGGCTCTGACATCATTTCCTGTTTGAAAAGGAAAATGAAACGATTATGCAACAGCTGAGAACGGACGCTCCGGGATCTGCTTCCTCCCAGACTGTGACGCTCCGGAGCGGATCGACCGGAAAACGAGTTTATTTTTGGGAGAAAGTTTCTACTTTTGTGGTTCCGAATGAGAAGCAATAAAATATGCAGGAATCAAACCGGCAACCTGTCTGTTCTCTACTAGAAACCCGCAGAAGGAACCGGGTCAGAACCGGCAGGTCCAAACGGCGTCGACATCTAGCCTGAACTGGGCCGTCGGGTCGGCATGTTGATGCTGTTGGGAAAGGAACCGGAACCGTTGCAGGAGGTTCTGATCCGCTTCTGACCCTGATCTCTAATGGCTGAATAAAGTGTTTCCTGTTCTACTTCCCGGTTCTCTTCTCCTTCTACTCCAAACAAGCTGAAACACAGACTTGAGAAAAACAGAAATATTTATTCAACATTTCAGCGAAAATTCAAACAAAATAAATTAGAAAAGGTCCAGTTTGAGTCACCAGGAGGAACCAGAACCAGAACCCAGCGGCTGCTTTCATTATCATCCAGGAAATAAAACGGAAACAATCAAGAGATGAAGCCAATTCTGTCCTGATCCTGATAAACTGACCCAGTCGGGTCCAAACCTCAGAATCAGTTGTGGACCAGTAACATCTGGCCAGCTGCTGAACTATTGATTTGGACCCGTCCCATCACGTTCTCTGGTCCAGAACCATCTTACTAAAGTTTAGTTCAGTTCAAAAACAGGTTTAATTCTTAAGGTTCTGATGGTTGGAGTATTACATCAGAACAATAGCAGAGGTTCTGTTCAGGTTCTGGTCTCCAGTCCTGCATCAGCTGAAATGTTGAACAAGAAAAGAGGAAAAGAAACGGCGATGGAGGCGAACACGAAAGCAGGAGTCGATAAAGGTTCTGGAGACCCAGTTTTTATTTTGGTAGTCCACTTCCTGTTGTCGGTGAGTGAATTAGCATACTAGCTAAACATTTCGCTCAGAGATAAACAGAGCTTCCATCTAAATATTTAGCTTCAGTTTAAATATTCTGCTATCTCAGACCAAATATTTAGCTTGAATCTGATATTTATGAATAAATAACAGTGAAAAGTGGAACCTTTGTTTATTTTGTTGGACAGGCTAAAGGAGTCACTTTATTTAACGGGGTTTGCATAAGATTGACATGACGCTGTCATAAACATGACATAACACCTGACATGAACACGGAGTCTCACTTAAGTGCCATTCGGTAAATGACACTTTTAATGCAAAGTTGCTTTAAAAGTTGTCTTGAAGGTCCATTAAAATGCCAACTTTGCATTGAAGTGTCATTATTTACAAAATAATGCAAAGTTGGGACTTTTAATGGAGGCCCAAAAAGCTGGGTTCGGGGTCGTCTCTAGGGTCGTCTCCGGGGTGATGGGTGTTCGGAGTCGTCTCCAGGGTGTTCGGGGGGTTCGGGGTCGTCTCTAGGGTGATGGGTGTTCGGGGTCGTCTCTAGGGTCGTCTCCAGGGTGATGGGTGTTCGGGGTCGTCTCCAGGGTGATGGGTGTTCAGGGTCGTCTCCAGGGTGATGGGTGTTCGGGGTCGTCTCCAGGGTGATGGGTGTTTGGGGTTGTGTCCAAGGAAGTTAAAGGTCAGTTCTCCAGGAAGCGGGATATGGAAGAGGAAGTTGTTCTCAGACTTTGAAGATCTACGTTTTGGGACAGAACATAGTCTGTCTGGTCTTCATCTGGGTCGCCAACAGAACTCAGATCCCAAACCCAGCAGAACCGGGTCAGAACGGCTGAAAACAAGACAATCGAGGTTCTGCAATGGCCTAGTCAAAGTCCGGGCCTAAACCCAACTGTGATGGACCTTCAGCTGAAGTCGACCAGCTGCAGACCCGATGTCCCAATCAGACGGGCTCATCTGTTCTGACCGGATTCAGTCGGGTCGATGCTGATCCTCTGAAGCTCTGGTGAGTCTGCAGGAACAGGAAGACCCGGTTAGAGGAAGAACAGCTGGTTCTGGTTCTACCACTGGGGGGCGCCAAGGAGGCCACAGCGCCCTCATCAGAACCAACCCACCAGAATCAGTACTTTTTCACATTCCCTGGTCCCGTCCGATCCAACACGTCTTCCTATCTGGTCAGGCCGGACCGCTGAGATCCACCTCTGGGTCTGAAAGACAGGAAGCAGCAACCAGCTGAGCAACCATCAGCTGGGTGCTCAGCTGATGGTTGAGCCTTACATGCATGAAAGTGAGTTAATCTTCATGCATGTAAAATGTTTCTATGGCAACCATCTCAGCCATTAAGGTAGAAACAAGAACACAGAAACTGACAAAATGTAGCAATCTAGTTAAAGTCCTGTTGCTATGGTAACAATTCTAGCTCTGGTTCAGGAGTCGGTGGCGTTCCTGCAGCGCAGCAACAGAACCTGAAAGGTCCGATCTCCACCAGAACCACCAGCTGGTCTCAACCCAGCTGACCGAGCTGGAGAGGTTCTGTCGAGTACTTTTTGGTTCTGTTGGTCCTGTTGGTTCTGACCCAAACGGACAGAAAGTGGACCTGGTTTCCATTGTCTGACAGGTTGTTCTTGTTGCTGAGAACAACGACCCAAAGAGAGACCAAGGTCAACTTGTTACTGGCATCATGACCTTTGACCTGATGACCAGTACCTGAGAAAAACACCAAACTCTGACAAAACAGAAGAGCTGGCTGCGGTTTGGCCCAGTTTAGGTGAATCGGACCTGTCTGGTACCTGCACTCAGCTCCTCGGCCTGGAACCACGTGACAATCCCCGTCTGGGCAGAACTCGGGCTGCAGCTCACAGACGCTGCGACAGGACCGGTTCTGTTGGGCCAGGAAGCCCGGTTCGCAGTGGCACCGGGCCTCTTGGGTCCGGTGGTCAACCACGCAGTGGGATGAGTCTCCGCAGGCCAGGAACCGGCACGGATCGGCCCGATCAGCTGCAGACAGGAGGACAGAACACAACAGTCAGGTTCTAACCAGACAGAATATCAGCCAGCCGGTTCTGGTTCTGAGAGTCTGGTACTGCTGACCAGAAACAAAGAATCACTTTAAATCTGGCTTTTATCTCAACGAGTAAAAGCCAGGTTCTGACCCAATCCCTGCTCCAAACAAAAATAGGTCAAGCTTTCCAAATACATTGTCAGTACACCAGAATCGTCAGAACCGAGAAGCTGGGCTTCCTGAGCTCCTCAGCAGAACCTCAAGCTGAGGTTCCAGGTCTGGTTCGGCCTGAGGTCCGGTCCGGTTCCAGGTCAGAAAGCTGGTTCTTCTGGGTTTCCGTGGAAACACTGATGGACCCAGAATAAAGTCCAGTTTTTTGAGCTAAGCCAGGTAAAGTTCTACTGAGCGGTTCTGTCAGTAGACAGGGCTCAGGTAGGTAACCCCTGGTTCAATTCTGACCGTCCCAGAATGGAACGACCCCTGACCTCTGACCCCTCACCTGGCTCCACGTCCAGAGAGCTGCGGTCGATCTGGAGCCTCCTGGCGGCGGAGCAGAACCGCTCCAGCAGGCAGCGGACGGCCTCGGTGACGTTGTAGGGTACGGAACGGGAGAAGCGCATCTTGCTGTTGACGACCACGCTGCCCTTCCTGAAGTTCAGGATCTCCAGTTTCCTGAAGCCCGTCAGGTTGGCCTGCAGGTACGGCAGCAGCTGCAGCGGCAAGCGCAGGCGTAGGTTAGAGACATGGAAGGAAAGCAGGAGCGGCTAATAACCAGCTAGCAGCAGCTAGTGAGCCGCCGCTGGAGCTCTTCAGCTCATCTGCTACTGGGCAGAGAAGGGATTCAGTTTCTGGAACGTTTTCTGCTGCATTAATCTACCATCGGCTTCATAGATAACATTCAGAGAGCCTGAATGTGAGGCACCTCAGTGATTAACTCATATTTATTCATATATTGGACTTGACCATGACTACACATGCTGTAGAAATCTAATCAAGAAAAAGGTTTTAATGAGACGCCCTGGTCAGAACCTTCTGGACCGCCTTAAAGGCCAGGATGGAGTTTTGGATTGATTCTCTTCAGGATCATTTCTCCAGCTCTCCTGCTTTTAGATGTCACTAAATGTTTTATGAGCAGGAAACTTCTCCAGCATTTTAATTAACAGGGGAAAGCCCTGGGAGAGACCACAGCCTTCATGTTTCCTGCTGAAAAGTTTCACCCTCTCTCTCCACCCTGAGGTCTGGAAACATCTTGTAATTTCTCCATCTTTTCCAGTCGGACCTTTAGGTTTCTGTGGTTCTACTCACCACGTCTAGAAGAGTGTTCTCCAGGGCTCTGTACTCTGCTGAGGTGTTGTTGAAAAGGTCTTCAGAGAAGTCCATGTTGGTGAGGCGCAGGCTGAAGAACACCACCAGCTCCTGCCTGTTGCTGGCGGTGGTCATGGTGGGCGTGGTCAAGTATCTTAGAGGAGTGGCATCTTCCTCTGCTGCAGTGGTCAGATCACTGCCAGGGTCCATTGACTCCTTACTGGGAGTATTGCTCTGGTCCAGTTCTTCAGAAAACTCCTCCCCACCTGGAGAGGCGGTGAGGCTTTCAGGGTCTGCCGTTTCCACCTGGGGCACAACAGGTGGTTCTGGTTCACTTCTGTCCTCTGTTAACTCAAAGGGCCCCGAGTCCTCAGTCAGGCCAGGTGTTGGTACTTGAACCAGGTCGACAGCAGATGGAGGTGCAGAGACGGCTTCTGAGACGGGGCTACGAGTTACAAACATTTCTTCTTCTTGTGTCTTTGATGAAAAGTTATCTGTCGCTACAGTATCCTCTGACTGAACCTCTAGCTCTGCAGCTGTTGCGGCTAGGAAATGGTAAAAATAACAGGATGAGTCTTGAACAAACTACTAAAACTGTCTAAATTCTACTTAAAGTACCTTCTGTAACATCTAGACCCTCCAACATCTGCTCAAGGTAATTAATGATGGGAAATCAACTTTCCTCAAGGAGCTCATATTGAATCTTAAAGCTTGATAACCTAAACAATAGTTGACGTTACCTGAGACAGATGTTACTGCTTCAATGGGTAGATCAGTCTGGACAGGTTCTGGTATTCTGAAGGCACCTGCTTCTCTCTCCACCTCTATGTTGGTTCCATCAACGTCCTCCTGGGTGTCAACGTCCTCTGTGATTGGGTAGATGAGGTTTGGTGCTTTTTCCTCAGGTGAATGGAAGAGTCCTGGTACGATGGGCAGATTATCTTCCACTGATGGGTTGAGTTCATCAGAACCATCCAGTGGCTGTTCCCCCACTACCTGAACACTACCATCTCTGTAGTGAAGTTCTTCCATGCTTTCCAAAGTCTGGAGGATTTTGATTGACTCAGTAGCTGGTTCTGTAGAATCTCTCTTTGTTTCTGGCTCTATGACCTCCTCTTCTGGTTCTGGACCTTTAGGTAAGTCTGGTAAGAAGTCCAATCGGTCTTTGTCTGGTTCTGATACTGTCTCCAGTTCTGGACTTTTTGATTCACCTATGGCTTCAGTCTTCTCTGTAGAAGGTTCTGGCTGTGCAATGTCCACCAGACTCTCATCAAGTGAGGCAACTACAACCTTTTCATCCTCAAAATCTGCATTAGCAACTTCAGTGACATCTTCTGTTTGAAGCTTCACCACATGGACTGATTTCTCTCTAACTTCTTCTCTATCCAAGTCAGGAACTGCTTCCTGTGGTTCAGAAACTCTATCAGCAACTCCACCCATGTTGTCGTTTTCCTCAGTATCTCCAGGGACCATGACCTGTGTAACTTTAGTAACACTTTCTTCTGAGCGTTCAGGAATCCTATCTTCTATATGTTTGGGAACTCTCTCTTCCTCGGTGACCCTGGGAATGGTTTCCTTGGTGACTTCAGCAGCTCTGTCCTCTATAAATATGGGAACCCTTTCCTCTGTGACATCAGGACCCTTTTCTTCAGGGACTTGAGGTAACGTTTCTTTCAGAACTTCATGACCTGGTCTCTCTAAAACTTTTTCATCTTTGGAGCCAACAAGCACAACCTCTTCCTCTTTTTCTGGGGCTTCCACCAAATTTTCCTCTAGTTGAGGAATTAAAAGCGACACCTCAATGACTTTTTCCATCTGCTCTTCTTTTAGTTCTGTAAGTTCAACTATTCCTTTTTCTGGTTGCAAAATGTTGACACTGTCTTCTACACCTTGTTCTGTGAAAACCTCAGGTTTGGTATCATCAGAGTCCGTCTCTGGAAGCGGTTCTTCTGGTTCAACTGATTTCAATGTTTCAAGGTCCTTCTCTGTAACAGGAACCACAATTTCTGGCTCTGGCTCTGTAACTTCCTCCTGACTTTCCACAACCAACTGTTTCTTTGTCTCTGATGCTTTAGTTGGATCTTTTTCTTGCATTGAAACATTCACTACTTCTTTGTCCATTAGTAAAACTTGTTGAACTTCTTGGTGTGGCTCCGAAACTTCAGGTGCTTCTGTCTCTAAAGTGTCAGGTGTTGTGGCTGGATTTGAAATGTCAACTACTTCTGTGATAAACTCTGATGGCTTTTCTTTTTTTTCTGGCATTGAGACTTCAAATGTTGCTTCACCTGACTCTGACATTTCAACTGCAACTTCACCTGGTTCTGAGACTTCTACTTTCTCAAGGTTTGGCCTTAAAACCTCCAGAATGACTGTATCTTCCTCTGGCTCTAGCAGTTCTACTTCACTTTGCAAACTTCTAACACCCTGTGATTCTTGGTCCAGAACGTCACTTGGTTCAGGTTTTGAAAAACCTAAATCTAGCTTTTCTTCATGTGAAAGAATGTTGATGTCTTCTTCCTCTTTAGGGATCAATGCTGGCTCTGTGGGTGGCTGGTCTGTGAGGTCTGCAGGTTTGAAACTTGGAGTTGTGATTTCCGACAGCTCCTTATTGCCAACGGCTGCAGTGAATACAATCTGAGCTGTTGGTTTAAACACAGGACTTTCTCCCTCTTTTTCAACAGGACTGAGGTCTTCCTCTGATATCAGGTTAGGAGACGAAGTGATGAATGGATCGTCCGCCTCCCCCTGAAGAAGCAGCGTCGGGGTTGGGATGTAGACGCGCACAAGTTCCCCCGTTTCATCCTGATGAATGGTTTCAATCTCATGTGTGATGATGAGCAATTCCTCTTCCTCTTGTTCTTGGCTTGACAGCTCTGGTTCAATCATGTAAATTTCTTCTGAATCATCAGTAATGTCCTCTGAAGCCGGGGGATCATCACTGATCAGTGCCATCCCATCAGTCACCGTGATCATCTCACCATGTGTGACAGCGGTGGAGTCCAGCAGGGTCACAAGGTCATTTTCCTTCTCCTTCGAGGTGAGAGGAGGATGAAGTTTATTCACCTCAGGCTCAGGGGTGAAGACTTTAAACTCATTGTGGGAATCATATTCACTGGGCTGTGAACACACAGATGCACCATTATGATGATTTTAGTTTCATTTGGTTATTTACTCCAAAATCTTATTCTAGTCTCTCAAGTATGCCGTTCTTGTGACACAGCAATTAAACTATTAATGTCAGATAAGCTGCAGCTGAAGCTGTTACCTCATCCATCTCTTCAGCTGCAGATGATGTTGGTGTTGGGAGGATGATAACTTCTGGAAAATAAATGTTCATCAATGCAGGAGCGGAAACTGCTGAAGGTTCAAGGTCTTCTTTAAACATGAATTCATTAACTCAAAGAGCTGGAGGTTCAATTCAGAGCCTGTGACCTGAAGAATCAGCGGTCTGCGTCAGAGCAGTACCTGGCTGGAAGTTCAGGGAGTCCAGGTCGACTGGCAGAGAAGCTTTCTCCTGTAAAGCCTTGACCAACATATCTCTGAGTCCAGAGTCAGCAGAGGCCTCTGGCTCTCTGGTTGTCTCTGAGGTTGTGTGATGGATGTTGTTCTCAAAGACCACAGAGTAGTGGACCGAGATTCCTTCAGCCCTGAAATACAAAACAACCCTCAGATCTAGAGGTACAAGTCCTGCTTGGTCCCACATCTTAGTACTTTACTGATTTTATCTCAAATGTTTCTTCTTCTATAAAGTACTGATGGACTAATCTGTGTTTGTTTATAATGTAAACCAGGGATCTGCAAACGTTAGACATGTTCCTGGTCCAACACACTTGAACCAAATAACTGGATCGTCCCCTCAGGTCAGTGTGGTTCTCCTGCTGATGCCCTGATCATTGGACTCGGGTGTATTGAAGCACACACACGACCAAAGTTTTCAGAGGCCTCCAGGCCTAGAGTTAAAGACCTGTGATGTAAACATCCTCAGACTCTCCCAAAGCAGCTGACTGCTAGTAACACTGTCAACAAGGACAATGTTTCTGATTAGAAAGGCGTCCTTTGAGGAGTTGCTGTTTGCTCTGCATAGATCTTATATGAACTAAAAATGTTCTGCATTCAGGCTCAGTGTCATCTGCTGCTGTGAATCACCAGCTGACATAATCCGTGTATGGTTCGTTAATTGTTTTTTTCGTTTTAAAATAAAATTGCAAAAAACAAAATAAGCATTTGTTTTTTTTTATTTTTCCGTTTTTTAAAACCTAAATCGAAAAAATGCAAAATCGAATTAATAGAAAATCAACAGAGTTTGAGTTTTGCTTACGGTTGTTTTAATATGTAGCGATACCGGAAATGAAGTAAGTTGCCAAAGAAGAAGAATTTACAGTGGATGAAGACGGCAAAAAAAACAAACCATTCCTAAATAATAGGCAATGGCTGCATTGATTATCGAACTGTTTGAGAGGAAAAACACACTGAAATCAGTAATGCTTTGCTTCGCCATGTGTACATTACCGCCACCTACTGGTAACTGAAAAAAATATATGCCAGGGGTGGGCAATCCTGGAGGTCCGGTGTCCTGCAACTCTGAGATGTCTCCCTGATCCAACACACTTGAATCCAACAGCTGAATCACCTCCTAAGTGCAGTCAAGTTATTCAGAGTCCTGCTAACGACCTCATTATTTGACTCGGGTGTGTTGAAGTTGAGATGCACCTAAAAGTTGCAGGAGACCGGCCCTCGAGGCCTGGAGTTGCCCAACCCTGTTATATGCCAAGAGTTCAGGTCTTCATTTCCGGTTCCGCCTTAAGGTCCCGTTGAATTAACAACAAAATAAAAGCTTGTCTTTGGTTTAACCATTGCCGTTTTTAAAAAAAACAAAACGTACCCCTTTTTTATTATTGCAATTGCCGTTTTTCTAATTTCGTTTTAAAAACGAAAAAACAAAAAAACACGTGCTTGTTTTGTTTTTGTAATTTTATTTTGAAACGAGAAAAAAACAAAGACCGAACCATACACGAATTTGACATCTAAGGCTGTTTTCACACCGGATAGTCCGGTAGACTCGGTTCGATTGGGGACCAAAATTGCAACATTTGTTACATTTCCAGCTGCTGTAGTTCGTTTTCACACTGCACTGAGTGAAACGATCCAAACTAACTGAAAACCTGTTCCCCCTGTCGCCTGTCGGGACGCTGCACCAAGAACCACTGAAGGAATCGACACAAAACCTCTGAAGAAGAGCAGCGCAACTTCCTTCTTCACAAAAAGTAAGCAAAAACGGAGCAGTGTCAGATTTTAGCGGCTGCAGGATTTCTTCATTCATATACATTACTGGTTTGGACATCGGCTGTTAGCCGCTAACGCTAGCGACGCTCCGTTACTGCGCGGTGAGTCTGTCCACCAAACCAGGCTGTTCCAATGCGGGATGAGCAGGAATCTGTCACAAAATGATGGCAGCGCCTTTATTTCTTACCCGATTTCTATAAACGTGGCTTTAATTAAAGCTGAGGACATTGCTGATGTTTGTAAGTATTCTGCCTTAATATAAATCTATAAACAGTTTGGTTTCTATCAAGATGCAAGAGAGGACCAAGCAAATTGTTCATTTATATTGGTGAATAATTTAATATTACATAATTGTCGCTGTTGTTAATTTGCTGCTCCGGTCGGACAACTTCCAACATGGAAGCTCAGCTTCACCGTTAGCCTCCATGTTTACTTCCGCAAACACTGAGCACTTCTTCTTCTTCTTCTTCTTCTTCTTCTTCTTCTCCTTCTTATGGCGGTTGGCAGAACACTGAGAACGCTGACGCTATTGCGCCCTCTACTGCGCATGCGGGACACGTTCAGGTCGTTTGCCCGTTCAAACTGCAGAACGCATGCAGGTCGCATTTACCGGCAGTGTGAACGGCCCCGGCAAAAAAAAAAAAAAAAAAAAAAAAAAGGGAATTTTAAAAAAAATGGGAATTGGGTCACTTCAGGCTGCAATGTGAACGCAAGCTTACAGTCTGGTTAAAGCGGACTAAACAGGGTGTGAATACACCGTAAGATGGGCTCTTCCTCTGGCGATGATGCACCTCAACTGCAGTGTCTGAGCAGATACTAACCTGCATAAAGGTAAGGTCATATTTTCCTTCAGCTGAAACTGGAAAAGTGTTTCAGAGACACATCATCAATGCTTACATATTCTTATGTTTCTCCCTTTCATCCACAAATTATTCCTGATTCATAGATTTTAGGTTTTCTGAAGATCTCTCTAGATTTTTAATGGTTTCTCTCCCAGATTGAGTCTAGAGCAGGGGTGGGCAACTCCAGGCCTGGAGGGCCGGTCTCCTGCAACTTTTAGATGTGTCTCTACTTCAACACACCTGAGTCAAATACTGAGGTCGTTAGCAGGACTCTGGAGAACCTGACTGCACTGAGGAGGAGCTTCAGCTGTTGGATCCAGGTGTGTTGGACCAGGGAGACGTATAAGAGTTGCAGGACACCGGACCTCCAGGATTGCCCACCCCTGGTCTAGAGCCAGATCATTTTCACTGCTGTGTTTTTGTTGAGAACTGAGCTTCTCTCTTTACGGGAGAGCCCAGACACCCTGAAGGGAAAATCATTTCGGTTGCTTGTTTCCATGATGTCATTCAGTTGTGAACCAAAGCTCATGACCGTAGATGAGGGTAGGAACGTAGACTGACTGGTAAATCGAGAGCTTCGCCTGTTGACTTGGCTCTGTGTTCACCACGATGGACTGGTACAGCGCCCGCTTCACTGCAGATGCTGCGACAGTCTGCCTGTCAATCTCCCGCTCTATTTTTCCCTCCTTGATGAACCCAGAGATACTTAAACTCCTCCACTTGGGACAGGACCTTTTACCCAACCTGGAGAAAGCACTCTACCCCTTTCTAGCTAAAGACCCTCGGATTTGGAGGCACTGATCCTCATCCCAGCCGCTTCACACTCGGCTGCAAACCACTTCAGTGAAAACTGTAGATCATGACCTGATGAAGCCAATAGGACCACATCATGCGCAAAAAGCAGAGATGTGATCTTAAGACCACCAAAGTGGATCCCCTCAACAGCTTGGCTGGTCTACAAACTTTGACCTAACATCCTGTATCAAAGGGCCCGGTACCCCAAACCCCACAGAGCTCTCCGAGGGACATGGTCCAATACCTTCTCCAAATCCACAAAACACATGTAGACTGGTTGGGTGAACTCCCAGAACCCTGCTGAGGGTCCAGAAGGTTCTCGACTCTCAGCAGGGTTCTGGAGCGAGTCCATGGCTAATGAGCTGTCCAGGCCCTAACACACACAGACACACACACACACACACCCCAGTATCAGCAGGAGTAGACGATGGATATTAGCAAGGCTTTGTTTAGAGAGTTTTTCTCTGGTCACCATGGAGACCGAGAGCAGATATTTGTGTCTCCTTGACTTAAATATTTAGACTGACCCCACCTGATGCCCCTGGGAGGACAGGTGAGGTTCCAGTGTTCCCCAGTTTGGACTGGACCAGGTGGAATGTATTTACCACAACATGCAAACAGGAACCAGTTTACATACCTGTCAGGTTCCAGCGTCTCACTGGCAGGAGAAGAAGAAGAAGAAGAGCGTTAGAGGAAGAGGAGTGTCCCTAGCCTTCATCAGACACTATAGAAGGATGTGAAGCCTGGAGACCAGACGACCCAGACCAGAACCAGGCTGGAGGTCTTACTGGGTCGGACCAGAAACAGGGTGCTGACCAAACAGTACTGTGTTTGTTTCTGTTAGTCTCCATGGCAATGCCTTTGAACCTTAACATCACAAACTGCTAGCAGGTCAGGAATAAATGATCTAGGCCCAACTGGCTAGCAGGTGGAGGTTCTGTCTGGTTCTGGTCTGAAATTATTCTGTTGAGTTGCTGCTTAGAGGGTTTTGAACCAGCAACTCTTTCCTCGGAGGCTGCAGGCGTACCGGATCCCCAGAACGCTGACGGCTTTGAAGCCCGGCAATCGGTCGAAGACGAGCCGCATCTGCAGAGAGAAGAGCTGCAGTGAGTCGGGTCGTCCTGCAGCGACACATTCGTCCCCCGCTGTCACAGCGAGAGCAGCATGAATGGGAACGCCCTGGAGTCCGTCTTTGGTGGCGCTAAGCACCTCGGCGCTCTTATGACATAATTGTCCTGCGGCGCATGGCGTGCTGCTCCTGCTGCTTCAGGGAAGAACCAATGCAGAAGGACTTAATTCCCCAGTGTGCCTCTCATTGAGGAGGGAAGGAGTAAAACGACAGTAATGGCCCTGACCTTTGACCCCTGCAGAGTAAGCTCCTTTCCTGAGCCGACAGCTGCTTTTAGATTCACAGCAGATTAACTAACATGGCGGGTTTAACCAGAGCTGATTAAGTCATAGACTAAAGTACTGGGACCCTGAAAACCCACAGTCACTGAGACACCTGGAAACACCTGGAAACACCTGGAGACAGAAAACAAACAAGAGTCATATGCTGCCTTAAATGTAGAATCTATGAACCCTTTAACTGTCACTGAAACATCTGGAGAAGGCACCTTGAGTCACCTGGACAGTCTGTCCACCAGCTGTGGACCAGGACACCTGAGGACAGGTGCAGTTGTCTCACCTGCTGTTAATGGAATCGCCTGGTTGCCTCCAAAGGTGGAGACGCTACATTTTCAGGTTCCATCATTTTGTCAGTTCATTAGTTTATTTCTGTTGATCCTGCTGGTTCGCCCAGCAGCTTCCTGTTAGCATGGCGGCTAGCTGGTTACTGCTAGCTCTGATTGGCTGTTTCTGACTGAGCAGAGTAATTATGCAGATCAGGGAGGAGATAGATTATTTTTTTTAGAGATTATCTGTCTCATGTTAGGACAGCGAAAGTTTTAATACATATGTAAAATTTATTTTTTTTTAGGTTAGATGCTGCAGCTTTAAGCAGAGGTTCGGTGTGAGAGTCACTACCAGGTGGAGCAGAAGCGAAGCTCCGTCTGTCAGATATTACTACCTGTAGCGTAGCAGCGGTTCAACAGGAGAGCAGAACCAGCGTCTGACATCGCAGCTCGAAGACTTAGATCATTTTCCAGGTTATTTGTTTAGCTTTCTGACCGTCATGCTAATCCGGGTGAGTGTTTGTAGCTGCGCGCTGTTTTACCTGCTATCTGATCCTCCGTATGTCTTTTTTACTGCAGTGAGCCTCGATGTAGCCAAACTCCGTCAAGTATGGCATTGTTTTTATGACGTATTAGCTTCGTTGTGTTGATGCATTTTGACCTGCTTCAATTTTCCTCCGCAACACGCAAACTTCCCCATTCACTCAGTGCGTTATAGTTCCACATCGCTTAGGATTTGTTGCTGCGCGTTTGGGCAGTGAAGGAAAGAGGAGACCAGCTGCACAGGCAGGTTGGAAATGAGAAGCAGGTGATGATCGGTTTGTGTGATCGGCGATCACCGATCATGCACTTTTTCACGGAAATCGGCCGATTATGATCAGTGGCCGATCGATCGGCACACCTCTAGTTACAAGTTGTTTCAGTGACTGTCCTGCTCCTCAGACATTAGTGGGGGTGCCGACAGTTTTAACTGAACGGGTTGACCCGACAAAACTGCCTGGGGCCCACCTGGTCCTGCAGGTGCGTCGCCAGGTCCAGGTACTCCGGTGAGTCCGGTTCGCCCAGCAGCTGCCTGTAGCCCGGGTCCAGCAGGCTGACACTGAACTGCACCGTGTGGACCTCGGGCCCCTCGGGAACCAGGTTGGGCAGCTCCGGGTCCTGCAAATCAGACGGACAGCAAAGGATCAAACACACCCTGCTGCAGCCTGGAGGACACAGAGTCACTTCCTGTTTTAAATCAGAGCTTCCTGAAGGCGAACCTCCAGGAAATTCACCTTCAGCAGGTAAAAAACCATCAAACCCAACAGAGACCAGATCTGGGTGGAAAGATCCCGACTGGTGTTTCAGCCTGGTGGGCAGATTTCTGACCATCTCACAGTGTTCAGATATTTTTTGACGTTTTGTGACGTTCTCAGGTTCTGGATCTGTTCTGACGTTCGGACCTGATTGTGTATCCAAACCAGAACCGGTTGATTTCCTTCATCTCTCCAGAGGAAAGCCACCGGCTGATCCAGACCGCTGATGAACATGGAAACACAGATTCCGTTCGTCTGGTTTTAGTTTGATCAGCTGTTGGACCGGTTCTGGTTCCGACCGGTTCCGTCTCGTTCCACCTGAAGCTCTGACTCTCCGTTTTCTGTCTGTCATGTTTAAGAGGCATCTCAAAGCAGCAACAGCTTGGGCCCAGCGGTACCGCCCGGACGGGTCTGGACGGTTCCACCGGGTCCATTTGGTACCTCTTGGTCGGGTCCAGCCGGTCCGGTGCGGTCCATGACCGGAGTGGGCGGGGCAGCAGAGGTGATGATGATGATGGCAGGTGGAGGCGATGAAGACGTGCTGGGCAGAGTTTCAGAACCTGCAGACCAGAACCAGAACCGACCCAATTCAAACTTCAAACTTTAATCTGCTGCAGTTTATCTCCTAATTTGATTTTTAACAGAATAATTTTCATAATTATTTAATTTATGGAGAAAATCTTGACTCAGCTCCTGTGTTCGTTCAATCAAATAATCCCCATTTATCCCATCATGCAACTGGAGGAAAGTAACTGGGATCTGGTTCCTACCTGGGAGTTCTGGGGTCTTCTGCTTTGCTGCCGGAGTCACCGCTCTGCAAAATAATTCAAAACCATTTCAGGACCAGGGTTCTCAACCTGCAGCTCTGGAACCACGTGTGGGCCGTTAGCCTGCAGAAAGCGGCCCTGATAGCCTCCAGCAGGTGGACAGAAAATCATGAAGACTGGCTGTCCCTGTCCCCGTCCTCCTGTCCTCCTGTCTGTCCCCTGTGTGCCCCTGTCTTACCGTGTCTCTGGTCGTCTCTCTCTGCGGTTCTTCATCCTCTGAAACAGGCAGAACAGAAACCAATCAGTCGTTTCTCTGGAAACCTGCTGTTTGTTCTCTGATCAGGTTTTTTTGTTGACAAAGTGATTATTGACTTTTCTTGGTCAATTCATTCATGAATCGGTTCATTGAACTGAAGCCAGTTTGACCTCCAGCCATGTAGAGACAGAAGCCTGATCCAGACTGCTGTTCATTCAGTCAGACGTTTTCTCTGCAGCTGACCTTTGACCTCAGACACTGCTTAGCCTCAGCAGCTTTTAGTCGCCATCAGACACTGCAGGGTCAGAGGTCAGACTGTTTGAAGATGTGAACAGCCTGAGCTGCAGGTGCAGGAAATGCAAATGTTTCATTAATGTCTGAACAGCAGCAGCATCACGCTGGCTGACCTCCTGACCTCTCCTGCAGCAGATTCAGGTGATCAGGTGACTGGCGGGTCCTCCAGTGGAAGCTGCTTCATGCTGATGATTTCTGTCTGGATTATTTTAAACGTTTACTGCTGAGTTACATCCAGAGTCATTCTGCTGTTTTATGAGCCGATTCAGAAGAAAAGCACCGAGTGTTCCTGAGCGACCGGATTCTGGGATCTGAGCTCTGAGTGTGACTGCAGCGGCTGCAGCTTGTACCCTGTGGATCAGGCCGATGTGCTCCTCGGAGCTGCTGAAGTTCCTGGCGATGTCAGAGATGCAGAGCGCCTCCTGCTGGCAGCTGCGGACCCACGCCTGGTATTCCCACGTCCCGGGAATTCTGTCCAGGAAGATCCGGAAAGCTTCCCACACGGCCTCCTGACAGACTGAGCGGAGAACAGAACATCCAATGAGATTGGATAAGGTTGGAGTCACCTGGGTTCCTGGGGGTTGCTATGGCAACCATGTTTTAACAAGGAGGTGAAAAAAAAGTAAAATTTCCATTTTGACATACACAACATTTCCAGAAAGTTTCTTGAGTTGCTCTGTTATTATTATTATTATTATTATTATGATGATGATGATGCTTCACTGTTAAGGAACTGAGAGAGTAAATCAGCAGATCAGAGCATTGCTCGGTTCTGATTGTAGCTCGTTGCTAACCCTAACCAGTCATCCAGAATAGCTTCCTGTTTGCAGACATAGATCCCTGGAATAAAGTAAAAGACCAGCAGGTGCTGCAGCGCATGGAGGACGGTGCTGCAGCAACTGCAGCTGAACCTCCGTCAGTCCCTCTTCACCTTTAGTCTCACTCAGGTTCAGCTGCAGCGTTCACAGCACCAGCAGTGACAGCTCAGATTTTTAACACAAATTAATTCAATTGAATTTTCCATCAATTCTGGTCAGAGCTCCACAGATAAATCTAATTTTAATTCATAATAATAATTAGCCCGAATTAAACAAGCTGGTTAGTAACAGCCAGTTAAAAATCTACCTGAATAAAGATCATGAATAAAGATAAATTAAAGATGAATCATTTAATTTAATAACTCAGAGAAATTTATGTTTCACACGTCCCCAGAACTTGAAGAAAACATTGTGGCTGGTTCTGGTGAGGCGGGCGGTTAGCTCTTAGCTAGCCTGGTTAGCTATCAGCTAGCCTGGTTAGCTTCTTAGCTAGCCTGGTTAGCTCTTAGCTAGCCTGGTTAGCTCTTAGCTAGCCTGGTTAACTCTCAGCTAGCCTGGTTAGCTCTCAGCTAGCCTGGTTAGCTCTTAGCTAGCCTGGGTAACTCTCAGCTAGCCTGGTTAGCTCTTTTTTTTTGGCTCTAGTGGCCTTTATTTGATAGTTAATTGACAGGAAAGTGGGTAATGAGAGAAGGGGAAGACATGCAGAAAAGGTTGCCAAGGCCGGGAATCTAACCTGCAACAGCTGTGTCGAGGACTAAGGCCTTCATACGTGGGCCGTGCTTAACCCCTGCGCCACCACAGCACACCCCAAGCCTGGTTAGCTGTTAGCTAGCCTGGTTCGCTTTACGTTATCCTGGTAACTCTCAGCTAGCCTGGTTAGCTCTTAGCTAGCCTGGTTAGCTCATGGTGATTCCCACATGCTCAGTAGCATTCGCTGCGTCAGGCTGTAACTGGTAATCTGACGGGTTAGCTGCAGGATAAAACAATGGGCACTTTAGTTTCTGATTTAATATCTGAGGTGAAAAGAACTAATTGGATCAGTTGTGGAGGAGTTTTGGGACGTCAGACAGGATTCTCCCTGATTGAGTTCAGGCTGCAGAGCCTCCGGGGGAGGAATGGCCGTGATGTGACGAGGAGCGGAGGAGGAAGCCGCTGTCTGTAGAACAGCAGGAAGAGACTAAAGCAGGAGCCTGATCAGATGAAACCATCAGCTGGTGAAGCTGCTCTCATCATCCAGCCATGGCATCATCATGCTGAGGCCAGACTCGAGCACAAGCCTGATTTAAAAGGACAAACCAATATGAAGGTCTTGCATATGATCATGTCAACGTACATCAGGAGTGCCAGAAGGCTGTGCATTAGGTCCAGTTCATTAGAACATCTGCTGATGAAAACAAAACGGGACATTACAGGTAAAAACAAGGGAGAGCTCCTTGGAGCCGCTCGGCCTCAGGTACTGGTGCTTCCTAAACCCCGCACACGCCAAGGAAAGGGTTAGAGAACGAATGCATGAATCCCTCGCCCACAGAACCAAACCATTACAGTTTCCTGATTGGTCAGTTGAGTCTTCCTCCCTGTCTGAGTGTCTGAGATCCGGGTAGTTTCATCTTTTACCTCTGAGTTGGTAGTAGGCCTGGTGGCTGGCCAGAACTTCATCGACGCTCTCCTGGGAGCAGATTCTCACTCCAGGCTGCAGAAACACCGACCGCCGGGATCTGCGCCGGCTCGACTCCCAGGCTGAAGGTTTGCTGGATGATTTCAGCAGGTCAGCCAGACGCAGCGATCCTCCAGACTCCACGCTGTGCGCTGCTGCACCACCGTCTGCAGGGGACAGGAAGTGATCCGGTCAGCGTGTGAAACCAGAGACCAACCAGCAGGATTCCCTACGGAGCAACGAGCTGCTCAGGAACATCCCACTCAGCAACAAGCAACTGTCCCCAGCGGGTCAACAACCCAGCCTGTGCAGCAACAAGTCTCCAGGACAGAGAAACCTGGCAGGAAATGTATGAATCTCTGCTGTAGAAACCAGAGATTTATATTTATTTGCAGCCGTGACTCAAACTAAGTCTTCTTGTAGTCAGAAGTCCTTTCTCCTCACTGAGATGAAGGTTAAATAGACGGGTCCATCATTACGAAGGAGGTTCTGGTCCAAATCGTTTGGGAAGGGGAGAGCGTAGCCTCCCCCAGAGAAACCTGGTCTTGCAAAGGAGGCGGCGACAGATTGTTGAACCTGGAGATCAGAGGAAGCATCTGGCTAACATCCTGGTTACGGACTGGTGGACCACATCTTTACCCACTCAGAACCGCCCAGAAGGTCCTGCAGTCCGGTCTGCGTGTGTTCTGTGAATCCGGGGAAGGATATACTTGGGATGGTTGGAAGACCATTAGGTCCACACTCCTGACCTGATCTTATAGCAGTTTGGGTCTTTGTGGTTCTCAAACTGTGGTCTGGAAGAGGACATTGTCTGGTTTGGAACCTCAGGTTCTGATTTGTAGTTTACGCAGAGGAAGCGGTTCTGTTGACTCCTTTGGGTCAGGGCCTTCTGGGGTCAGTGAAGCAGTACGCAGATGAGTGAGAAGCAGCTGGGATGAGAGACAGCTCCCGCAGCTTGTTCTTGATCAACTCTGGGCAGAATCTGTTTCCTGGTCGTGTTGGAGAACCGTGAAGTTGCTGTAGAGGGAGAGGCATGTGAAGACTTCCTAGGAGAAAGAGAAACCCGGTTGTATCAGTCAAACAACCAAACCTTCTGCTCTTGTGGAGGAAGTGTTGGCCTGATGTCTGAGTCGGGGTCTTAACCTCACCAGATCGTTGTTCCTCTCCAAGCGCCATGAGAGTCTTTGAGGTTCTGCCAGAAACTTTTGGATCTCAGTGAAAAAAGTGAATTGGATCACAATTGAACAAGAGCTGCTTGTTCTCCGTTTGTCGACATTCTCTTCCCGCGGGCACAGAGAGGCAGACAGAGCAGGAGACCTGCAGCTGGAGGTTCGTTTCAGCCGTCCATCTGACATGACTGGAGAGATCAGGTAAGTCAGGGGAGGGCGACCCTAACCCCCAATCCTCTGTTTTGGCCGACAGAAGTTACTTTATTACTTTTCGCCCCCTGATGGCCGATGTAAGGTATGGTCCTGAATGTGAAACTCCATCATGTCTTGTTCTTATTCTCTCAATCTTTGTCTGAAGAGCAGAACTGTTTGTTCAAGTAAATTAAGGTTCTCCACTTTTCTCTCATTTTCTCTTGTTTCTGCCTTTTCTCCTGCATCAACGGCAGAAAGTTTCTCTTCATCAACTTTTTATCTCAGCAGCAGTGAAGAACACCAATCATGGTAACTCTAAAGAAAAACGAGGCGTGCAGCGTTTCAGTGAGAGTGTGTTATCTGTGTCCATGAGTGGAGAGCAGTGAGTGAAGTTCTGCATCATTACTGCCTAAAAGGGTTCGGGTCTGACTCCTTATGGCCACTCCAACTAAAAATAACAGCACTGGTTGCTTTTCAAGGGTGCTTGCAGCAAAAGCATCTGTTAAACAAGAAGGTTCAGCTTACACAACCAGAGTGGAGCCGATCCCCACCAGCAGGTGACGGCAGCTCAGACTCACTCACTCTGCCCGTCTTTGGGAGAAGACAAAGTCTTTTCCTTTCCGCTGCGCCCATCACCTTCCTGACTCACCAGCATTATGCAACCCTAATAGGCTTTGCTTCACATTGTGACCAAGTTTAGGTGTCTTCAGTGAAGCCTTTCTTCTTATCTAACCCTTTAGCCTGTTAATTTTATTTGTTCTGTATCTGATTAAAAAACTTTGAGCATCAGATGGAATGAGCTTTACCTCTGATTCCAGCTGCTGGTGATGTGATGGCCAGCAGCAGCAGGAGTCCAGCAGCCTGAAGCATGGTGGCGCCGATGAGGATCTGAAATGTGACCAGAAATGACGCGGCGTTCTCGATCAGAGGAAGTTCATGGGAGCTGTCTGCCGCGTGTGGAGGGAGACGGAGGCGAGTCGGAGCGCGGGTGAAGAGCCAGCAGGTGAGTCCAGGAGCAGAGCGGCGTTCTGCTCTCAGAGCTGGACGTGTGGCAGGAGTGATGAGGTTAAACAAGTGGCCGGTGTTTCTGGAATAATCAGTTTATCTGCTGCTCAGACGTAATCCTGCTTCACCCCGTGGCCCTGCAGGCAGGCGTCATCCTGTTAGTGGCTTTCTGGGGGGAACTGTCACGGCCTCTGCTCCCCCGCTGGGCCGGTACCGGCCTCAGCTCCACCATGGCTTCCCCAGCAGCCCTTACTGGTCGCACTGGGTTCCTCCTCAAGCAAACGGCAACGCAGTCTGCTCGAGTCTCTGCCGTCAGGCTCAGCAGGAACTAATGAATACTTAAAGCCTCACTTCAATGCACTTTCATGCTTTTGCAACAAATCCAATAAGTCCCAAAGCTGATGCCACTTGAGCTTAAAGTGTCACAGAAGAAGAGCTGCAGACAAATCAAATGTTTGTTTCCAGAGTAAACAGGAATCTGTGTCTGACAGGTAATAAAACCTGACAGAAACATTTTAAATTATTCATCCTGGACTCTGCAGCGGGCTAACGTCAGCAGCTTCACTTCAGGAGGCAACACCAAAACTCTTCCCTCAACAAGGTTTCTGGGTTTTTAGTTCAATTAATTAGAATGCTGAATTCACTATTCAGAGTTAATTATTGTTCTGCTTTGCCTCAGTTTTCAATAGAATCAATGGAAATGTGCAGCTTGATCTGGATGAATGTGAGAAATTACAGAATCTGTAAAAAAAAACTTTAATTTTCTCAACAAATGGTGATTTTAGGTGAAGCAATGAACCATGTTCTGTTTGGACCGCCATGTCTCAGGGTTAGGGTTAGATCATTCAGAGACGATCCAGGTCACAGAACCCTGGACTTCACTCAACACAGTTATCATACTGGTCCCACTTCCAGTTTAACGCTGAGGTCTGTTCTCAGTTGGTTCCTCAGTTGGTTCCTCAGTTGGTTCCTCGGGTTCTGCTGTTTTGTCCTTGTCCTGTTTATGTGATGAAGTGGGGAAAGTTGAAAGCTGACTGCAGCTCCTGTCAGGCTCAGACTTCCTGAAGTTTGTCCATTTCCGAGTTGCTGTGTGAAGCAGATTAGAAACCAGTTTTAATCTGATGGTTTCCCTGCTGCCAGGAAGCAGCTGCAGCTCTGTAGTAGTTGTGAGATTAGTAGTAGCTGCTGGGATTAGTCTGTAGTAGCTTTAGAGACTCTACAAGATGCAACAAAGCAAACAGGAGGCATTCATCACACAGCCAGGATTTGTTGGTTCAGGTTCTGGTCCTTCAGGTGTTCATGTTGTTGGCTGACTTAAATCTCCTCAGGTGTTTCAGAGCAAAATAATCTTCTGGGCGTTTTATTAAAGAAGCTCCAGTCATCATCATACGGATTCACGTTAAGACCTGGTTAGACTTTCTCTCAGAACCAGACCCAGACAGGAACAACGGGCAGTTAATGGGTTCAGTCTGGAACCTCTGCTGACCTTTGCCACTAAAGTAATCCGTGCAGCCGTCTGTTCAACTCAAACAACAACAACCGGACCCGTCCCTGGTCTCGTCTGATCTGCCTGTTTATTCCTAAACTGAACTCTGCCCTGTTGGTTCTGTGACATGATTCCAAGAAAATATCCTGCAATTTTCAAGAAAGTTCTTGAAAAGTGCCTTTTGGTAATGTTTAGACCAGATATCCTGACAGAATCCAGAGAGCCGGCGGTTGGAATACTCATGGTCAAGATTGGTTGAAACTGTAACTTTTACTAGAGAAAGTTCTGCTCTGTTTCCAAAGATGTCTGGGGGCAAAGCAACTTTCTGTTGGACTGAAGGACTGAAGGATTGCAGGACTGCACTGATGATACACAGCTCTACTTTACCATGTCACCTGGTGACCTTTGACCCCATCCAGGCACTAAACAGATGCTTAGAACAGATACATGTGTGGATGTGCCAAAGCTTCATCCAGCTAAACAGAAACAAAACTGAACTTATTATCTTTGGACCTAAAGAGGAATGATCTAGAGTTCTA